TCCTCGCTCATTTTGCAATTTGATCTTCGAATTCGGTTTAACAGGACTGGAGGCCTTCTCATTTAATTTTTTTCCTCGCTGACCAGCCATCATGAAATGCAAGAACCAAAGAAAAAACACAATTTAAAAACTGAAACAAGTTAAGTAAAAATTTGTAAAGTTTCAAAGGGCTGTAAAAACTCGGTTACAGACTTGAGAATAAGTGGCTGTAAAAGGTGTCAGGGTAGAGGATGTAGCTTGGCCACAGAAACAAGGGCTCTATTGTTCCACGCTGGCGGGGCAGTGCTGCACGTTGCCCTCGCCTGGCCTGTTTGCGTCCCTCGCTGACTCTAGATCGCGTTATTTCAGATGGAAACACTTTTACTATAGGCTTTTTTTCTATTTGCACTCTCTTTTACTGACTTCACTGAAAATTCAGTCATTCACTGACACGGATCATAAAAAAAATGCAAAAAGAGTTCCGAAAACGGCACAGTTAAAGTTAAAAGTTGAAAATCTGGGACCGCAAAACACGAGCGTCCGCTCTCGACCACGGCTGAAACTTGACTTCCAAATAATAAATAATAGTTCAGGAATTGTCTCAAATTCATTTATTATTTTCAATGATTATTCAACTTTTTATTTATAATATTTAACCTGATTTTGTTCTTATTCTACGTTACTACAACAAGTGAACATGAATCATGTTCAACATATCTCAAACGTAATTTCAGATTTACTAACGTCATTCTAGTCTCCATGACTAAGCAAGACATTAATTAGTTAATCACAATGTAAACTTGTTTGTTTGTGTATCGGTAAATCAACTGGATTCTCAGAAGCCTTTCTCGACCTTATCCCTCACTGGTCTGAGGGATTATTATTTATGACAGATTATAAATATAATTTATTTTTATATTAATAAATTATATTTTAAAATACTATATATAAATACGATAAATGTTATCAAGTGCAAAGGCAACCTCCTGAGTGTCATGCTGGAAGGCTCTGGTAAATATATATAAAACTACACTCATATTAAATGATAAAAACCTTAATTTAGGGAGTGAAAGTGGAAGGTTCAGATATCACTGCTGCTGACGACGATCAGGAGGGCACTGCAGCGTCGGCGATCCTATATGAGGTCACTGATTTTGTGGCCTTTGGATCTGGAGAACCGGTGATTCCGATACCTTTTGAGGCTGTGAACTACAATGAATCTAATAAATGGTCTTGTTTGTGAGTATAACTGCTTTTGTACTGAACTTCAAAGACAGAGTTAGACATTAGAGACCGTATCCTACTAATAAATAAACGAATCTGAATAACCATGCTTGTAGCTTGTGTTAATCTATCAGAAATTAATGCTCAGTTTTGAACTTAATTCTTTACGTTGGGTGTATCACCGTAACTTAAACTAATTATCATGCATTCATTTCTAAGATACTTTGTAATCTTTTCAGCTTGACCACGACCAGCGATCTCACGCACATGGCAGGCTACTATAACTTAACGATCAATGTAAGCCATCTTTCAACCAGTTTACTTTGAAATTTGCTAAATCTTGCTAATCCTACTTCGATTTTCTGCTCTGTGCATCATTACAGAATTTTCTTCGATTTAAGATATACGGGAATATTAGAATAATAAAATAAATAGCAGATAAATCACAATCATAAAATAAATACCATATCACTGACATTATTTTCAGAAGTGCCCTTAGCTAACTACTTACTCATTTTAACTCTTATTACATGTACACTTCTGTAAATAATTCTGCATCTGTTGAAGTATTTTACGTAACAATAATGTACAATCAACCACGTCTCTACTCAGGCAACGGACCAGACAGATCCATACAATTCAGCACAACTAATTGTTAGCATGCAAATCACCGACGCCAACGACTACGAGCCCATCATCAACATCGAAGGATGTTTAGCTGATAATGATCAGCAAGTTAACATCTCAGAGGTATTGAAATGAGTTAGTATTTGTCAGCGAAATGAG